CTCACTAGAAATGACTCATCACATATATGCAAACTTTCCATTTTTGTACTGTCCTCCTATATATGAAGTTAATTATATCTGGAAAAGGGAAGCTGTATGCCTTACAGCCTTCAGACATCCATTCCTCCAACCCTGAGAAACATTTTGAATAAAGCAAAATCTAATGAAACAAGTTAGTTTCTAATAGTGCTTAACGTGTTGAAAGAGGAAATCGAGTGACACTGGGGAGGATGGAGATTGGAGAAAATAGTGTTTTGAATCCTCTTTATGCTGCTCTGTTGCTTGGTTCACCCCTGGAGATGAGGGGAAATGGACATCTGGGTGATGTGCCCACAAAAGGATGTTCTGCTGGGGAAAAAGCCTTTTATTATACAAAGAGGTATTTCTTCTCTGCCACACAGTGGCTGAGGTTCACAGGACTCAACCGTCCCCTCCTTCAAGGGCCACTGGAAGAAACTGTAGAAACAGTAGAACCCCATTCAGAAGAGCTGAATATGACACATACCTGAATACTTTAAATAATTTAGGAGCACACTGTTGCTTTTCTGACAGCCTTTTACAAATTTTAATTGTGCGCCTAGAGATTGTGACATACGCCACAACCTACATAGGAAAAGCATTTGGAGGCCAGGATACCTACATTCCCTTCCCTAAGGCTCTGGGTCTGCTGGGCACAGAAAGCCTAACTGAGAAATCCTTTCTGAAAATTGAGTCTGAAATGTTGAATTCTAGACCTGGTGGCTTCCTTTCCTATGTTTGTGTATATCCTCATTTTTCTCATTATTTGCAAAATAGACAAGAAGGCTACCTTTCCTTTGACAAGACAAAAATAAAAAGCAAATAGTTTCCTCAAGAAAACCACAAACTTCATTATTCTGTTACTCAATAGTCCAATGTAAAACTCAGTTATCCACCGAAATATAAAACCGAAAATATGACATGTTCATATTCTTAAGCCCAATGTTACAGTTTTATGTTCATATTAAATAAAATTTTTAATAATTGACTCTATATCTAAGGTTTCCATAAACACCCTCCCTATATTTTCTACTTCCACAGCATATCTTCTGATAATGAAGTCTCCTAACAATTACGGAAAATATACCTTTTAATAAAATACTTATTGGGCACAGTTTTGTTTCAGCATAACAATCAGAATAAATAAAATTTAAGTTATATCTTGAAGCCCTTTGGTCATCTGTGAAACAGAGTCTGGATCAGTAATTTTTTAAAAAATTATCGTCAAATTTAAGAAATGGAAAGCAAAAACAAATGTGAAATAATGTAAAATAGCCAAAATACAGGTCTCACTTTGTTCATCTAATTCAGCCCTTAACTGTTCCTGTACATTTTTCAGAGTTTCAAATCCTTTGTGTGTTTGACAGCATCTTACCGGTAATGGTTTACTTTAAACTTGGTTGTCAGAATAACATGTAATGTAAAATTGTGCCCCACCACCACCCACATGCAAATCCATTATTCCAGTAGTCTTGTGAGGTAATAATTCCTTATGTTAAATAATTTCCCCGTCCTCTCCCGGTAAAAATAATCAATAAGCTAGCAATGAACTCAAACCTGCATTCCTGGGTGTTTGATCCTTAATTCGCTTGTAAGTTGGGAAGAGTTGCTGTAGAGCCAACACTTCCTATATTGTGGAACTGGCGATACTACTATTAACTGGGAAGGAAACCAAGGCCCCCAGAGAAATTACTTGGCCAGAGAATTAGCTAGGAAAGGTTCTGGAGGTGCATTTTCTTCATTTTTTTGTGTAGTGATTTTTTTTAGAGAGAGAAATGTGAGACAGAGTGTGTTGCAGGGAGGGAGAGACCCTTAAGCAGACTTCATGCCCAGCACTGAGCCCAGACTCACATCTCGATCTCACCACCCTGAGACCATAGACTTGAGCCAAAATCACGAGTCAGAAGCTTAACCGATTGAGCCACCCAGGCGCCCCTGTATCGTGACTTTTTTTTAATGACCCAATGCTGTTTCCAGGATTCGAATAGATCATAGAACCAAAACTTAGTTCATTTTAAGTATGTTTTCACCTTTTCCCCAAAGCCTGTTAATTAATTTGAACTAGTGTGAATTTTTCTAGCATTCCCTTGTTGCTAGCCAACTCGAGAGGAAATCACCAAACGCTAGGCAGTGGGAGAAAACAGAGAAGGAGCCCCCAGAAACCGACAGCCCCCAGAAACCTCTAGATGTTCAGGGTTGGACTGCATTCACCATGCATGTAGTAGTAAACAAAGTGATTACCCTATAAGTGATTCAAAGGGTTGCTTCTAAGTTTTTGTTAAGAGAGAAAGAAAGAAAGAGAGAAAGAAAAAAGAAAGAAACGGAAAAAAAGAAAAAGAAAAAGAAAAATACTATGACATAACCACATTTTATTGATTCAAATTTTCATCTTGGTAAAAACAAGACGATTTGATCACACACAGAGAGGTGAGCCTGTTTGGCCTGTTGGCCCAGATCTTGGCTGTGGGGGAGGGGAGGAGGGTCAAAGTGGACCCACGCAAATGAACCCTTCCTTGGGAATAGCTTTTTGTGAGCGCAAGTTGTGTCTGCCTAATTTTGTGGAACAATGAATTCCCTCTAAATATTGTTCATGGGGAAGTGCTGAACTGTGAAAATATCAGATACTTCTGATATGGCCCAGTTTTCTTTAGCCAATGTTATGCTCGGCAAAAAGCATGAGAAATGCCCCACAAGCAGCTCAACAGAAGTGACCACTGTGAAGTGCTGCCTACATGGGAGTAACCTGTTCTGGAGAAAGCTTTGTCTTCATCCCCACGTTAGATCAAGTTGTCCTAAAGCCCATGTCAATGTGCTTCCGTTGACCACTCTTCAACAAGTAACCCTATAACATATTCTTGCCCCCTCTGTATTCACACACCAGGAATTTGCGTGCTGTATCTTTTATTCAGACCTTATAAAGTAATTAATTAATTATATATATATAATGTGCTTAACATTTGATATGAAAAAAATATACACATAACAACTACAAATTTTAATAGCTAAGCCTTTATTTAGACTTTACTATGTGCAGGCAGGCACTGTGCTAAGCACTTTACATGCATCATTTCATTTAATCCTCACCAATCCCATGTGGTTGATAGATCCTGAAATTATCCCACATTTATATATAAAGAAGCGAAGCTTAAGCAGGTTAAGTAAATTACAGACGATCACACGGCTTGTAAGTAGCAAAGGCAGGAAAAGGTAGCCGCAGAAGTCAGGTACCAGATCACAGGAATGCAATGTTCATGGAAAGGGCATTTGGATGTTGTTCATAATGTGATGGGAAGACCATGGCTGTTTCTGAGCAAAAGAACAGCATGATCTGATCCTTGTGTGTGTGTCTACGGCAAAATATACATAATACAAAATACACTGTTTTAATCCTTTTCAAGTGTACAATTCAGTGGCATTAAGAACATTCATATTGTTGTGCAACCATCACCACCATCCATCTCCAGAATTTTTCTACTTCCCAAACTGAAACTCTGTACCCTTTAAACACTAACTCCCTGTTTCTCCCTCCCCCCAGTCTCTGGTAACCATGTTTCTACTTCCTGCCTTGATTTTGACAACACTAGATACCTCATATGGAATCATACAATTTGTATTTTTGCATCTGGCCAATTTCATTCAGGATAATGTTTTCTAGGTCTGTCCATGTTATATCATGTATCAGAATTTCATTCCTTTTATGACTAAAAAATATCCTACTATAGGGATATACTACATTTTATTTATCCAATGGATTAAATAAAATCTATTATCAAAATTAATTTCATTTCCTTCTTTTTACTTTTTAAAAATATGGCTCTTTGAAAAGGAGCAGTTACATATGTGACCCACATTTGTAGATTGCCTCATATGTCTCTTGGACAGCTCTGCTTTAGAGTCTTTGTTCAATTATGGAGAAAGCATGGAAAAACTACCTTAATAATTTTTTAAGTGTCATGGGGAAGAAAGGAAAGCAGGTTGTTGCTGACTATAAGAACCCCCAAGAACAGAACTATGCCCTACAAAGGCACAAAATGCCCCAGAAATAGCAGTTTTGTATGAAGGACACATGATTTTATGGCCAAAGAAAGCATTTGTTATAGTGGATTGTTCACCAAAGAGAATTCATTGAAATCAAATCAACAGCTCATTCATTATGGAGGGTGGAGGAATCTAATGGGAAACAGGAACCATTTGCTCACTGCTAGCCTGATGAAGATTAAAATGAGTGTCAAGCAATCAGTAGAACGAAACATGAATGTGTTCTGTAAAATGTTTATTAACCTTTCTAAACAAGACATCATACTATAACAGAAATATTTTGCTGAGAGATTTTTTTTTAAGTCACAAATCTGGTAGTAAAAAAAATCACAAAAGCTGAACCAAACACACCAGCAGCTTGAGAAGCACTGGATGTACTGGGTGGCATCGTCATTCACCGTCATTCTTGTTCAGAGATGCAGGGACAGAAAAAATGCAGACATTGAGGGTTCAAGTTGGAATCTGACCAAAGAATGCAGTAGCCTCCAAATACCCAATTTAGAGCTGATGTGAGCTCAGATGATGACATCCTACACACACAAAACAGTATTCCATGTCTTTGTTCCAAAATCAAGAGCTATGTCTGAGCTGTTTTACCAATAGTGAGCCATCCACTCCCTCTTTTAACATAAGACAGCACTGTCCTCTTGAGAAGTCCAAAGGGGTTGGTGCACAGAGAGCTTGGAAAATTAACATTCATTTATTAGTGTTATCACAAGGTCACTTCAGCCCAGGGGCATGCTTTGGAATGCTGAGTTTTTAGTAGAATGCCTATCTTTTTGCATGCGTGTTTTAAAATTTCTGTGTAACCTCTCCTTTCAGCATTGTATCACTCTTCCAAAAAATAAAAATAAAAAGCACTCTTCCTGATTAAAAATTACTCAGTCCATGTTGGAGCTACTGTCCATATTATGACCACAAGCCATCCTCCTTCTGGGTTTCAGAGCTGTTGGGATACGGAGATCTGCACGTCCTCTTACCTGCCGCACCCATGGAGATACAAGGCAAGTGCATAAAGATAAAGCTCTGCTGACAGACCTACGTTTTCAAATTACCACAAGGAACTTTCTCTAAGCAGTCTATTATTTAGGAATGACAAGACACAAAAGGGAGTAATGATATATGGTTGCCCAATTTGCATATGATCAGGTGACGCTCCACGCCAGAGAGGACTAGAACAGAATGATCTGAATTTAGGCCAAGCTCTGATGACTAAATTTCATGCTGGATGTACGTCTCCCAACACGCATGTTCCAGTGTAAGCTACTTTAACCTTCTGGCCCCTGCTCTATTTCCCCATACAATCTTTTTCCTTAAGGAAAGGGTTAGACCCGTTTGCCTTCCTGAAGCATTAGTCCGTGCCAGCAACCGGAGTCCAGGGGAAGACACTGCTACCAAAAGACAGAAATGACCCGTCCTGCCACCCCTCCTTGTGGCCGTGTGGATGAACATGTCAGTTACAGAACCTGTCATCCCCGAGAGCCCGAGGCCAGGATGGAGAATACACACGCGTCCCCTGGGACAGGGCAGCACGCTCCCACCCGCTCACACCTCTGGGCCCTGCGCTCCACAAGAGCTGTTACTGATGAGAATGCAAAGCCTGCTCACCGAGGGGAGAAGGGGTAAGTAGAGCACAGTGCCCATAAAAGAGCTGTTTGCTACCTATTTTTCTTCTCAGCTCCTAGCACAGCCTCTACCTAGTAGGTGCTCGGTTCATGATAGATATTTCCTGAATAAATTGAGTCCTCTGCTCCTGGGAGACCACGTATCACTGTGATACATAACAAGTCAGCTACCCTTATGTGAAAAGACAGTCCCTAGGCAAAGTTCTTGCTATTCCTGATTACTCAAAATGTGAGCCCTTTCTCGTAGTTTCTCTGGTTTTGTATACACAGATTCGGGACGAAGCCCTCTGGTCGTGTTTGTAAATCTCTAGAGCAGGACATTAGCATTCAGAAGCACTTATGAGAGGAATAAAGCCCTTATGAGAATCCAGGACTCCACAATAAGATATTTCTCAGCTGTCAAACAAATAATTTACAACATGGATGATGGAGTCAGGGGCAGGATTTGGATTTTAAATGAAGCAAGTATGCAGAACTAGAAGATTATAGTTTCGAGCAGGAAAATCAATGGGATGTTGGAAATTTGAGATCTCCTCACAGGCTTAATAATATAAAACACCAGGATCAGATAACAGATATTGGGTTCTTGGGAAACCACAAGGTTGGGTAAGTCGACTTTTGCTTGAAATGTACATTTCCTAGAGCTTGGGAGGAAGAACAACAGTGGAACTCTGCCAAGGGAGGAGGAGGGAGAGGGAGGGGGAGAGTCCTTTCATTCAGATCCATCATCTTTGACCCGAAATCAGTGCCCTTACCTCTCAAAAGACAGTATTGTATTTTTCTCCCACTACAGGTAAGTTTTACTCAGTCCCCCTCTAGTTTCATGAGCAGTTGGAGCTTTCAAAAATGTTTCCGTTGTGGAGGGGGGTCCAAAACGGAAATTTGTCTGGACTTGCTGACCCCTACAAATCCCATACAATTTGTTCAGGACAAAATAATACGTCTGTATTTCATTGACCTTAGGTCCACGGCTTCAAGTTCACAGAAAACTATATTCGATAAACATGCAGAGAAAAGGAAACAGATACCAAACCATCATCAAGGCAGCCTGCTGTGAAAATACATGGTACCAATGACACCAAGACTTCTGAGACTTCGTTTCTTTCCTTCCTTCCTTCCTTCCTTCCTTCCTTCCTTCCTTCCTTCCTTCCTTCCTTCCTTCCTTCCTTCCTTCCTTCCTTCCTCCTTTCAAGCATGTGTTTATTCAACACACATTTATTGGACATCTTTACATATCTGTTGCCAGCTGATCTTTTCAGGCCAGGCACACATTTGCATTTTATTTTCATATCCAAAAATCTGCCTGAAGTTGAGCAAACTTGGGCCGAAGACACAGGGACCCACTCTCAGCGCTTGGGTGTCCCAGCACCTGCCAGCCGCGCGTCCCCGGAATTGAGGACATCGTGTTTTCAATTTTCTTCAATAAAGCAATGAATCTGGCAATTTGCTGGCCTGCTTCAGCTAAACAGAAAGGACAATTTGAGAAAGATCATAGTTCAGGCCCAGTCAGACGGAAACGATTGAAAACAGAGAGCTGGCCGCTATGTTTCCCCAATGCAGCTTGCTGCCGCAGTTTGACTGACAAACTGACTTTTTTGAGGTGCTCATGCCCATTTCAGTCAGAGTTTATTGAAGGTGATTTTGATCTTCTCCATGAGGCCACAGCAGTGGCCATGCCATCTGTCACCTTGATTGCATCGTGGATTCTCTGGAGAGAGCGCCGTGGCTCCTGATCATTTACAGATTGCACTGCTTTCCCCTCCATAAGGACCACATGCACAGAGCCAGATGGTGAACATGCACGCTTATTATAAGTCTTTATCTCCGTGCAGGAAGGAGAGGAACCATTAGGTCTCCCTCAGGAGCTCTGCTCCTCTCTACCATCATGCTGCTCCTCAGCAAATACAGTCTTCTTCAGCTGTCATCAGCCTACCTCTGAAAATTAAAAAAATAAACAATAATTCCATCAGCCAAGGCCAGAAAAACCAAGACCAGACCGCAAAGCAATCCCCCCTTGACTCGCCTTCCTTTCTTTTCTTTAACCTCCCACTGGCCTGACTGTCAGCACAAGGTAAAAACAAGTTTGTTTGCAAATGCATCATTCATGTGTTGATTTTTTTTTTAAAGAGGTCAGGAGGGCCTGCCGCTTGGAAATCAAGCGACATGATCCTATTTTCTGTTATTGGGCTCATGGCTTCCACTGCATTGGCCTCATTTGGTTCCATTTAAGGAGTCGGGGTTCATTTGACAGATTTTAAAATTCTACGTGGTTTTTCTACAATAATCCCAGGAAGGGGACCACCTGTGAGCCAAACGTAAGGGATGTCGGTGCTGGTGACTGAGCAAGAATGGAAAACCCCAAGTACAGTGGAACTCTAGAAAAAGTCCTTTTAGTAACCTCTCCACGGGGAAAGAGAGAACGTGGGAGGCTGGGGGCGCGTCTGGAGAGCGGAGCGAGCTCAGCTCAGAGATCCAAGTGACAGCTGGTCAAAATGTGTGTCTTCTCACAAACCACCACTGTCACTGACAGGGATTCCAAGAGGGTCCAAAAGAAACCGAAGTGGAACTGAAACACGTGCAAAAATACTGACAAAGTAAGTACACATTAGTTGTAAACGAGATCCTCAACTTTTTTCATTTTTATAGGTGTAATTTACACATAGTAAAGCACAGACTTCTTAAAGGTAGATTTTGGTTTTTGCATATAAATACTCCACCAAGGTCCGGATGTAGGACATGTCCAGAACTCCAGCAGCAGCAGGCTTGTGATAAATAAATAAATAAAATAAATGTTTATAGGCAGATTTAGTAAGAAGCCCACGTCCTCTGTCTGCTCTGCTTTTTCCATAAAAAATACACTCAAGCTGTGAAGTCTCTTCTCGTGTGCTCGCTCTCTCCTGCTCAACCCCCACTCTCTCTTTCTCCCTCCTTTCTCTCTCTCTCTCTCTCTCTCTCTCTCACACACACACACAGAGAAGATCGAAGGAAAGAGAGTGGGGCTTGGCCTTTGCCACCGGGAGACCCCAGCTCTGTGGGAAAGCCTCCACCAGTGAGCAGCTGTATGCAGAAACCAGGGAAAGGTTTCCAGTGACCCATAACCTTGAAGTCTCACCTACATGGGTCATTCATTTCAAATAGCTGCCATGTTAACCCAATGGTTGCAATTACTAAAATCCAATAGCTTTGCTCAGACACTAAATCTAAGTGATCTCGGAGCCCACTAAGACAGTCACATAATCTCTTTTGGTTTAGGTTAAAATGGCATAGGATTTCTCTCTTCATGAAATGCTAAGTCGAGACCATCTCCTACACAACATTTCTCAAGGACCTGGCTCTTCCAGAAGTATCAGCGTTTGGTGGGAATGCAGGATAAGCTACAACAGAGTAAGTGTAAAAAAAAAAAAAAGAAATGACTGAGAAATCCCACTGGAGAGTGGAAGCGTGCACACACGCATACACACACACACACCAAGCTGCTTACACATCCACGTCTCCTCAAAAAGTAATTGAATCCAAATCACTTCCTAAACCAAGTCCAAAAGTTATTTCACATGTTTAGGTGACATATCAGGGACCTTTCGAGTATATATTTGAATAGAAGATAATTATCAAACAGACCAATTTCATTTTTGTAAGCCCATCATTTATAAACCCATCAACTTCCATGATGGTACAGCTTTATTTACATTTTCTGTGAAATAAAACAACTGCTCTTAACAGAATAAAGTCACTACAAAATATTTTTAGAGGAAGAAATTTAGTGTGGTTTTAATCCATTGCAAATGTTTTTTCAGAGGAGAGGTTTAAGATACACTCCTATTCTTAAACCAGCTTTTTTTTTTTTTCCACTTTGGGGCATGAGGAAATGTGTGCCCATAACACTCTATGAGGATGCAGGTGTGTGCAGGAAATGTATGGATTTGATAGGCTTGTGTGCTCACTATACTTGAGATAGTTTGCAAATGGTAGTTAAAAACACGAACAAGAAAAAACTAGTCATGCCTATCTAAAATAATTCCTGGTCCCTGAACATAGCCTCAAATACTTAAGCACATGGATTTTTAAAAAAATATCATCGTTCTCCCCAATGTTTATCATTTTTCTACCAAGGATAGATAGGAATAAGTGTGGAATTAGCTCTACCTAGTTAAACAGATGATCTTGATCTTCGTAACATCACACTGTTCTGTACTTTTGGCATAAAAACCATTTATAGAGATGCACATTGAAAACCAAATCACCAAGTACAGTTCACCCTCTCCAAAAGGAAGCAAGATAATCAGAAATAATATGGTGCCTTTGACTAAAAGTAAAAATGTGATTTCATAAAGTGAAAAAAGATGACTAAGGCCCAGGAAAAGGAAAGGGAAACTGGGTTTGATTACTTAGTGTTAACGAAATGTGCTAAGAGAGAGGAAGACTCCCTGGCCCCCACGTGGGGAGAAGATACTCCTGCAAATCTGAAACATGGACTGTTTCTATTTTGCGTTCTGGTTATATCACTTCTAGTAAGGCTAGGATCAGAAGCTCAGTGCACTGCCGCCCTGGCTACGTCCTCGTGTTCAGGTGCAGGGAGAGGCCAAGAGGCCATGGAATCAGGCTGGGGTTGAATTGCAGCCTTTTTACTTGGCCTTGCACTTGGACAGGTTGCTCGCTTTCTCCCAGTTGCATATTCTCTCTCTGCCAATGAGCAACACAATTCCAATCTCCCAAGTGAGGATTCACTGAGATGAATGAGAAAACCTCTGACATGTTATCTGGCTTGTACTGAGCCCTGAAAGCACGCTACAACTGAAATGAAACTAGCACAAACGTCACCATTTCTCATAAAAGAGGGGCTGCAAACACATACCCTGTGCAATAATGAAGATTATTAGGTGTCAGCGTAGAAATCATATTTTGTAAAGCAGCCAGAACTGTAAATGCATATTTGATGGCAGGGAAGTGGGCAGGCTGATGAAGAATAGGAGTCCTACATCAAGCTCTAGGCTCCACCTGCCATTTGGTTACCCTGTGACCTTGTGCACCTCACTGGAGTTCTCCGTGTTCCGGTTTCTCCACCTGAAAAAGGGGGTGACGATGAAGAACCTACCTCAAGATTAGATGAGTTCAGGGAGGTAACGTGCCTGGCAAATCAGAACCATTATAAAAGTTAGCCAGCGCTCCAAGGGCTCCGAAGGCTGTGAAATAATAGCTCATGATTTCATCCGTTGCTAACTTGGCTGTGGTGCAGCCATAAAACCTTATTGCCGCTCAAAAGCCCAGGAAACTGACCAAAATTCATTGTTCAATTTTATTGGCTGCCTTTGGTTTCCAGTGTTCGCTAAGTTGGAACTCTTGTTTATTTCATTGCTACAAACCATACCTATAAACTTACGAAGCTGTGTCGCATCTCACACACACATGGACACACAGACACACACAGACAAACATATTCTTTGGACAGGGTGGGGGTAGCCCACAGCCAAAGTACAACAGAAGAGTGGCATTATTTTGGACTCACGAGACTTGGATCTTGGTCCTCATTCTATTACTTCACCTTGGATAAAGCACTTATTCTCTCTGTATCTATAAAATAGGTCTTGGAATGCCTTTTTACTTCATGGGGTTGCTGTAATCTGTGGAAGGACTTTGAAACATCTGACGCACCATACAAGCTTAAATATCAGGCATTGGTATTCTGTATGAAAGACAGCATCACCACCAAACATTAATGAGTAGTATATAGATTAATGAAGATTTGGTAATAATTGTATGACTGTCAGAAATAAGATTCTAG